GCGAGGTTCCCGTTGTTCGTTTGCTCCACGCTCACTAGAACGCTGCACTAGCTATCCTTGGGATGTTTCAGGTGACTAATCAGGTCTGGGATGGAAGTATTATAGCTCGTTCCGCCTTTTTCCCTCCTCGGTGGAACTTCTGCATTGCATTTGTTAATGACAAATAGCAAGCGAACTGTCTTAACTCTGAAACCTTTGGAATAGTACCATACTACCCCGACCGACATGTTTCTTTACTGTGCCTGGCTTCACGGCCAGCACACCATTTACGTCACAGCCAGGCATGAGTTACAGTAGCGCTGGATTTGTGAAAAACTCCCCTCTTCCTAAACCACTAATACCACAGTACTGGCAATACGGGAGGAGCCGAGTGAAAAACAAGCGCCCCTCATCCCAATCCACCCACACCGCAGTATTTTTTCTTTTTTTTTACCCAAAAAATATATTGTATATTATCGGGGCTATTAATACTTTTATCGGGTTTATCGGGATGACGTCATAATTCCTAATATCAGACCGATAATTATCGGGCCGATAATTATCGTGCACCACTAGTTGTATGTAGTATGTATGATGGTAAAGGATAATTCATTGCTTCTCAAATAGATATTGCAGTGGTGAGTAAATTCCTCTGCATAGCCTTGGATTTAGTTTCTCTGCAAACACTGCTTTTCTTTCCATATACCATATACTTTAAAAACCTTTCTGTGCTTGTATTGCTTGTTTTCTTTTGTCTATTTGTGGCTGCACATTCATTTGATCTTTATTCAGGTTCCCCTTTGTGGTTAGACTCAGACGGAAAATCTCTAAGAAGATTTGTTTCTATTTTGTATTCATCAGCTCGGCAATAAATGGATTGAGTTTCCCTGCACACTACTTTCTGTTGCTGGCATAGTGCTTAGGAACGCTTCCAAACAAAGAGGCCAGTAAAACGAGACACTTGTCAGCTCTATTGCAGCGGTTTTAATCACCTATTACCCTAAAAGTGAACATTATGTAACATAACGATGCGCTTGACCCGTCACGGTTGATGGACTGAACTTGGATTACAACCTGGCTGCAGCCAATGTCCTGGGATTATAGTAAACCACTGCTCTGCCAATATCACACACAGGATTAGGTGCTAGCACATTTGTATGTTGTGACAGGCAAACCAATAGACAACTCAAAGACTGTTTGTATAGTCACCGTCTGACTAAATGTATCCGACACAAACAGTCTGTGTTTATTCAGTATAGCTGCTCCGGCGTTGTTAGAATTTAACCTTAACATACCACTACTTTTTATATTGAATACAACAATCTTTCAGTTCCAATTTGTCCCTCGCTCCATCATCTTTTACCAGCGTTATTTTACAAGCACATCTAACCATCTTATTGTTTAGTATGTATTACATTCAATATTCTCTGCAGCTGTCATATCAGATGCTGCAAAATACAATTTTAAATTCCCAACACTGACTCATGTTAGCATGGAGCAGCAGCCACGCTGTCATCTGTGTGTGAGAGTATGAGTCACAGTGAAATCTCAAATCCATGTTTTATTAGAGGAACAATCTGACTTTATTCATTGAGATACATTTTTAGTTTAGTTTTAGTCAGTTTATTGAACATGTCAGAAACAGAAACATACAACAATAATTATATATACTCTTTTTTCCCCCTTTTTCTTTCTCACTCAAATTAATAATTATAACAAAGTACAAAAAAAATAATAATAACAAAAAAAACAATAATACAATAATAATTCTCAAATAGTCTCTGTCATGTTCAACAGGGGCAAGAAGAAGCATAAAAAAAACGTTTCTGGTCCTACCCCCTCTAGCATATATTTTTCTTATAAATAAAATATTAGGTCATCATCATCAGCGACATGTTTGGCTTGTTAATTTGTTTGCTTTTTGACAAAACAATCAGAAAGAAATTACTTTTACAATTACAAGAAATAACAACAAATGGGATTTTACAGGTCCTGTTCATAACCACTAATGATTTGGCTCCTAAATAATACTTTCAGTTTAGATAGACTTGTACAATATTTCAGATACATCAAACATCTCATAGCAAAAAAATGTGAATGCAAATACTAACAGATATATTTGACCTGAAGCAACACTAAGGGCAAAACAGCTAAAAGTACGTTTGTAACAGTGTTTTAGGTTCAAAGTGTTGATTAAAAGTAAAGATCAAATAGAAAGGAAAGGGCATGTCTTGATTTTTAGATGTCTGAGCATTAAGTGCTACATCTTTCAACAGACAGGAGTAAAGGTCGTTTCTCTTTCTCAAGACTTTGCAGTCAGATGAAAATCTTTTAATTTAAATTCTATTACTGCAGTTAAAGAGAATCTGAGTTGCTGTAGCAGACTTGAGTTCGAGACAGGATAAATAAGCCTGAGGGATTCCAAAAGCAGCTCCATTTACACTATTAACATCATTTATTGTATTATTCCACTTTCCCATTTATTTAACAGGTTCATTGCACATTGATAAACATTTTTGTCAAAGTGCCAGTTACTCATAAGCATTTTTTTGATCTGTAGTCCATGGACAGATGTTGTGAAGTCACCTTAAAAACAAATTAATATAACAAGTTGATAACATCATTCAAAAGCATGAAACATAGAGGCTCACAATACATAAAATACTATTTTTAAAAAACCAAATCGTTCATATAAATTAATGATGGTTCTTTGATGCTGAATAGAAAACAGAAAGACTTATACATGTGGCTCGCTGGTCAAAGACATGTTTTGAGTCGAGTACATTCAGAGACCTTTGGATCGATGTCCTGAGGCCAGTCGTCAAAGTCCCCCCCCCAGCACTGTTCTCAGCGACTTGGTGTCACAGATGTCTCCGACCCACTGTGTGTGTTGTTGTTTTTATCTCAGTATGCCAGATGAAATGCAGGCAGCGCCAGGCCAAAACAGTAGAGCTGCTCGCTTGTTGATGGGACATTTTGGATTATACCTGTTGATATTAAATCCCAAACTGTGCGCCAGAGCAGAGATTTGGATATTTCTAGTTAACTCTGCCTCTGCACTCTGATGTGAGGGTCACACCAGGGACCACAGAGTGCACTGGATAAACAGGAAAAGATAATGACTTTATAATCTTAGAGCTGTGATCCGTGACTAAACAAATCAACCCGGTATCACGGCAAGACGTGAACATGTGACGATTTACCATGCTGGGAGACGCGACGGTTACACGGTATTGTTAACATGGCCCAACAAGTGGAGATATACCCGGAAATGCCAAGCAAATGCTACCCCGACGGTCGGTTGTTATTGTCAATATTAATATAATAATGATTTATTTTGTAATAGTCACACTCGATTTCGCAGATTTTCTTGTTGCCCCTGCTGGTCCACACCTCTTTTAGCAGAAACACAGGCTACATTAATGTATTAAATCGAATTAACGGACGTGACGTTGTGCGATTGTGTTGCCAGGCAACAGCTTCGGTTCATGTTAATTTACAAACTCTTCAACTACAGTAGAACCGTAGTTATATTTAAAAACATTTTAGCAAGCCTCACGAAATAATTTCATGTAAATTTAAATGTGAAGGAATGTGTGTATAACAAAATACATCCGTCATTAACAATCCCGGAAACCGACGTAGGCAAGATCCTCAGCTCGGTGATTCGATGGTTTAGACGCAATGCACGTTGGGAAATGGTGTTTATGCGATGTGAAATCCGAAAACATCTTAAAAAAATTAAATAATACTTTATTCCAAGTGAGCTTGCTTTTCTCTTTGAAAGTCATCACATAACGGCATTGTAATACACGGTTCGGCTGCATTAAATATTACATATCTGCCGTAGTTAGCTATTTATAGAGCCCTGATGAGAAGACTTCTAGACAAACAGGAAGAACTGCCGCCAACACTGAAAACGTGACGTGGATCATAAATATATCAGCAATTAAACAACATCTTCAATTTCTCTTCACACAATACGTCTCCTTGCAGTATCAATACTAATTCGGCAGACTTTCATATTTGATCCAATTGGTTGATAGATTATATTTACACCATAACGGTGCACAGCTGATATACATACACTCTATTTATGTAGACCTTTAAAACAAAGTTACACATCGTTTGCAAAACTAAATAAAAACAGACAAACATGAGAAAAATACACTTTTTGAAAGATACCCACTGATCCCATCATGTATAATTATTTTGACAAACACTTTATGGCACCTGTATGAATGGACAATCTGCAGTATCACATGAGAATGATAGAAAATACATTAGTCAGCACAAAAGAGTCCAGGTACTAAAGGTGCAAGCTGTATTTATGTTGTTAAATGCACATATATAATGTATATTATACAGCTTTTAGCAACACTGTCACCCATTTACAATTATCATATCAAGTGTGCAAAGGGCTGCAACTAATAGTTTGGGTCTTTCTCAATGTCGAGGAAGCTTGCTTGGTAGCCCATGTCTTCCGAGTCACTTGCTTCAGAAGTGAGGCAAGAATCCTTCCTAGCCTCGGAAAACAAAGCATGGTGGAACAGGCTAACAGGTGTGCAGGTGTGCGTCGTATGCGAGGCCCCGCCTTAAATGGAGCGCTATTTCCGCCAAAGATTTGGAAATTGGTCTGTGCGCAAAGCATTTTGGGGATTTTAAGACCGCGGAGTCTACACATGTGCAGCCTCTAAATTTCTCGCTACAAAGTACGCGACCTCTGTAGAATTCCAAGTATGCTGGACATTGGAACAGTCCTTTGGCGGCACTCGATGACGTAGTAGTGGCTCTGGAGCAGCCTTCCTTGACATTGAGAAACACCCTTTGTATCATTCATGCGTCTGTTCATAATTATGTTGATGATTTATTGTAATATTTAGCCTGTAAAATCTCCATCAAAGTTTCCAAAGCATGAAGTTGCTAGTTTGCATTTTGACCAACAGTCCAAATCCAAAGGTATTCATTTCCCTTTCATAGAAGACTAGAAACTCAACTAGATTGTACTTGTTTATTCTTAAATAATGAATTTAATTATCTGACAATCAAGAAAAAGATCAATCGACTAATGGTTTCAGCTCTGTAGTTGTTGATCAAATCTCCACACCGTCAGTATACATATGGTTGATCTGTTGCCAGTAAATAGCTCCTTAGAGAATAACAGGTAACACTTCTATAAAGGAGCATTTCTGGACTGCTACCAACTGCATGATTGACGTGTAGTAGTTGCTTCCTGAAGCTGTGGATC